GTCAACGCACAGGGTGGACACTATGGCAATACACTTCAAGCGGCTTCAGCCAGAGGCTACGAGAAGGTGGTGAGGCTGCTGCTCGAAAATGGCGCCGACATTAATAAGCAGGGCGGGTTATACGGCAGCGCAATTCAGGCGGCTTCATGGAGAGGCGATGAGCAGGTAGTGAAGCTGCTGCTCGAAAATGGCGCTGAGGTCAACGCACAGGGTAGAGACTATGGCAATGCACTTCAAGCGGCTTCAGCCAGAGGCTACGAGAAGGTGGTGAGGCTGCTGCTCGAAAATGGCGCCGACATTAATAAGCAGGGCGGGTTATACAGCAGCGCAATTCAGGCGGCTTCATGGAGAGGCGATGAGCAGGTAGTGAAGCTGCTGCTCGAAAATGGCGCTGAGGTCAACGCACAGGGTGGACACTATGGCAATGCACTTCACGCGGCTTTAGTTAAAGGCGATGAGAATATAGTAAAGATGCTGCTTGACGGGGGCGCCGACGTCGACTCGCAGGGCGAAGAGGGCGACACCGCGCTTCAAGTAGCTTCAGAGAGAGGCCACGAGCAGGTGGTGGAGCTGCTGCTCGAGAAGGGCGCCTGGTACCGACGGGCATGGTATCCCAATTCTTTCGGCGATACATAGAGAATGTTTCTTCCGATGTAATGTATTGTATTCGGTTATTCTCAAAGTCTTGTAGCAAGTCTTGCACCACGTCATTGATTACAAGAAGCTTGTGGACATACAAATGATGAAAAACAAATGATTGAGGAACTGGTTAGAAAATGCTACGCACGTAACCGATATCAATAAGTGATCAAACCTTAAACCAAGGCGCAACGAATAACTCATCGCCAAAAATAAATTCCGCGGTAACAACACCTGGCGGTCTGGCTCCTTTCTCCTCGTTTACTACGGACAGTTTTAGTCGTATATATAGAAACACCACCGCCTACGCCCAACACCGCAACCCCCCTACTAGTTGTCCGTTACTGCTCGTGCGGATACGCTGGATTCGCAATTAGTGTGGCCTGACAAGTATCCCAGAAGGTACAGCCGAGTCTGGCTTGGATGCAGCACGTTACTTCGTCTTTTTCTTCTTAGGATTGCTAGACATTGTCTGCATCGTTGTGGCTGGGGTGATCTGCGGAACGCTTGGCTGACTGTTGGGTCTCGGGTTCTCAGCCAAGCAGTGCTCTTCGATTTGCTGGGATAGCTCTGATCGATGTTGGAATGTCTGTAGAGCACATCCTCTCCCGCCGGCGCGGTTATTGCAGCTAAGCCACAATTCGAAAGCGTCGTCGTAACGAGGGGTTCCCAATTTAGAGGATCAATGCGTCGAGAGCATACTCGCAGCCAAAGGCAAGGACTAGATGGATTGCAACATCATTGTTATGTCGCGACTAAATGGTGCCGCTGCCTCCGATGGACGTGTCATGTTTTGTAGCTCGCAGAGTGTAGTTGTCCGTCCCTGCCGTAACCGTAACGGTGGCTCTTAGGTACCAAATCGACACGGAGGGACGCGCGATGGCCTGCAGAGACCAGTTGAGTTCTCGCTGTTTTATTTTTTATTTTCCGAGTACTCTGAACCCCTCGATGGCGTGTGCAATCTTGGCGTCAGGCGCCAGCGTTCGGCAGGAGTGCCGACGTTCTTCCAGACCAGCCTCCTGTTCAGCGCGTTGTCGCAATCCGCCTTCCATCTTTCCTCTCAGTTCCTCTCAGTCCATTCCCACATCGCACTCCAATTTTGGTTACCTATGCTCTCGCCGATATACTTGCTCCTATGAAAATTCGCAAACCCGACGTCGTCCGAGCAAGCCAATCGCGTCCGCCATCGATGACGATTCCGTCTCGGTCCAAAATTTTCAAATCCAAACCAATAGGCAAAGGGTTAGATGGCTTTCGTGATACTCATGCTCTGAGTTGGAAAGATGAAGGCAACTGGGATGTGGACAATGAAGGTAATGTTCGTCCAACCCCTTGTGCGAATACTCCCTGATGCTAATAGGGCTAAACAAATACCCTCGTCGATCTGATGCTTGCCTTGCAAAGTCTCCCCGCCTCTCGATCGCTACCCTCAAAGCGCGGTAATCCAGCCCTATTCAATGATCTGTTGTCACTGAATTCAGCGATTTTCTCTGGCAATTTCGACACTGCACGGATCAGGCCTTTGTTGGATGCGGTCCTCAACAAGGAGCCCGATGAAGTCATCTGGGATGCTGTCTACGACGCTGTCACCGAATCGACCCCTCCGCCCCGTCCCGCCTCATCCATCCAACAAACGCCATGGCTGCACAACACGGGCAGCTTCGCGAACTCCACCGAACACCGCAAATATGTGGATGGCGTGCTGAGGGAGGAATTGGGACAGCTGTATGTCGAGGTCCCTGGTTTCTTCGAAGCCTACTTCGGAAGCGTCCCAGGTCTCGAGCTGGTAGCGCAGGCCGTGTTCGACAAGTGCAAAGAAGGGGATAATCCGCTCTACCGAGAGGAGAGTGGCTGCCAAGGCCGCAACGGTTCGCTTATGTAAGCCTCCCAACCTCAAGATGAAGGTGAAGACGAGGTGAAGATACCGTTCAACTCCAAGCTCTACATTACACGCTCTCCGTCTGTGAATTGCAATTTCATTTCAAGGCTGGAATCGCTGCACCCCTGTTCATCCAAAGTCTTGGGACGGTCGTCGCGCCCACTCCGCAGAATCGACTAAGCTTCCTTCTTTCCTGAGATCAGCTTAGTCGGGCGATCGTTCGGGTATCTGTCGTGGGTGTGCATCCCGCGACTTTTGCCGGACGTTTGTTTCCAGAAGGGGGTGTCAAAGGCGCTGTCAGGCTGACGGCTTCCAAATCCGCAGGTCCGCCTTGTGATTTCTCGCTTTGGGCATGGGACTGTATCCCATTTGCCGGCCGGCCTCGACGCGCGCTACCCAAATGCACTAATCAGACAGAGCCCTGAATCGGCCCCGGGTAGGGATCCCTATTGTGGTCCGCGTTCTGCCCGAAATAGTCATGGTAAGCGCCACTACTTCTAATTTAAGAAAACCCTATTTCGACCCTCAACGAAGTCCAAATTTGACCACCATGCAAAAAGCCAAGTTCGCACTGCGCACTCGCAATTCTGCTGTTCAGTTTGGCAGGCGCACTTCAAAATATATTGAGAATGGTCGCTCGTATACTGTAAGCTCGAAATGATACGCCCGGTGCAAGCGGAGTGCATTTACTAAGGTACAGTACGCAAGTGTGCATTGCGGATAGCTTCGCACGGGGCCCCGCGGTCATTTCATATCCTCGACGATATTAAGCCTACACTCTAGCACAGCCCCCACGGATCCTCAATGAGCATGCATATGCCCTCCAGCAGTCCCGCTCCACATCCATAAAGGAAGTTCTCGTCTACAACGAAAGCTTTTCCGACAGTCTGCCAATTTCGGATGCAAATATCGCCTTTATTTTTTGGAAAAGGAGGAGCTTGGACGTAGATCTTGTCTAATCCATAGAGCTATAGTTCGTCAATCATAAAGGAGAATAGCAAGGCAGCAGTCAATGGTAGTAGAAAAGGAGCAAGTGAACTCTAATTTATGTCCCTTCCAGGATCGATATATCAATTTGTGCCTCAGCGCACTTCCCAGTTTTACATCCTACGCATCGATGTTTACCTTCTTCAGGGAAATACCTTCTGACCTCCCCTCCCTCGACCCTTCTTCCTGCCACTCCGTCTTACCTTCACCGCAACTCGTAACTCATCGTAGACGTAGTTTAGCGATGTGCTGATGGAGAGGAGCGAGAGCTGGATACCGAGAGCTAAGAAGAAGAGGAAAGTCGTAACCGCGTGAAAGGTCTTTGATTGGTAAGTTCGGTGCGCAAAACCGGAGCACAGAAAAGGGATGCGCCGGGAACCACGTTGTTGGCCATTTGTGTTCGTAGCAGGACTTCTTCGTGCTGATTCAGGGCCTAGAAGGGGTGATGCCGAAATTTGGTGTGGGCGTAGGTGCACATTTTCTGTCTCGGTGCCGTACGCATCTTTTTCCCCTTCCCACCAAGCGCGGATCATCGACGCGAGAATCAGAACCAAGGTGATGGTAGAAAAGGCCCATATAAGAGGCGTCACATAGCTCAGCTTCCAAGCCGGGCCAACACATCCTCCCTTCCAGCTCGAAAGGTATTTGGGCATACCGCCAGGGCAGAGTACTCGCCGCAGGAGTCAAGCGCGCTCAGCTTATAGGAGAACTGCTGATACGCCATATATCTTCAGCCTTCAGTGTCAAACTGGGAGTTTATATCGATGATGTGCGAGCACAGGACTCAATACACGATGGACGACAGAAGCCAGCAAGCGACGCTAAGCAGCGTGATATCTAGCGAGGCTTTTCCCCGTTGGTTAAGGAGAAGCATACCGAACAAGATAGGAAGGATCCCGTTGATAGAAAGTGGAATAAGCAGGACGGTTAAAAGCATGTCCTCAGAGAAGATCCCATAAGCCAGAGAAGCGATCTGAATCGTAGCGCTGAAGTAGCATTGGGAGATGTGAAACTGGAGCAGGCAGGTCTCGAGGATTGACTGGTGAGTAATTGTCTCGCCTGCTGATTCCAGTGGGGCGTCTCCCGATGATTTGACTCCTTGGACAGTTTCAGAAGGCCTTTCGTGCGGGTTGGATAGGAGCGTGGACGAGTGCTTCCGGTTGGAGCGCGAGAAGCAGTAGAGGCCGAGCCAGAGTAGCATAAGCAATAAACATTGCAGAATATAGGACGAAAAAACCTATTGTCTTAATTAGCAAAGGCATAATCGCAATTTGTCGTGAAGGCAGCCTGCTACATACCCCAATCCCAATCACATCCGCATCCGCATATGGGAGAGATTCATAGCCACCAGTACAAAGCTTGTTCAAGCACCCGTTTACGCCACCAATATTTGGTCTTGTCCAGCTGACTAACATATTCACTGCCGAACACGGTCCGGAGCATGCACTTGGGTTTCTTGATGCTTTGCATGTCTGCGTCAGACACTCTGTCACCACATTCGTCACATTCGCCAAGGCAGCATCAGGGGAATCTGATGGAATATGCCGTCCTACGGCAGCAGTGGTGTCCTCGCTCAGAGAGCCCTGCGTAGCGAAGCCAGATATCGCGGGCACGTTCACACATGTGCGAAAGCGTTGGATGGGCGCCTGGCCGTTGCCAGTAGATGGCTCGTCCTGAATTTCTGAACTGTACAAGATTGTCGGTTTTTGACATTCCGAAATGCAATCACCGTTATTGCATCCAAATGTGAAGGTGGGTCCGCTAGCGTTGAAGTTCCGCCGGCATGTGGGCGTCGTCTGATCGTTGATGTAGCAACATCGCACGTCTGAGAATGTTTCGCCGATGTTGTCGCAGAAGAGGGCGTTTGAGAAAGACTCCGAGTTGGACATTGCTGCGGAAGCTGGGAGCTTGAAGTGGTGGATCACCTAAGCCGGTAGCAGACAATGGGAGTGGGAAGACTCTGCGACCAGGAATTGAATAAAGGATAAGCCTTCGCCAAAATGAATCACTCATGAGAGGCATGTGTCAGCCCGCATTTATGTCCCAGCATTTGAAAGGGCGATGATGTAAGAGAGATGCTACGTTTATCCATGTGCTACTCTGTTGCGATTCATATTGGCACACCCGGCGCAGATCCGCAGATTTTTGTCGCTGTACTCAGGGGGCTGTGTGGTTTTATGTGGCGGGGAAGGGACTACGGGATTGGATACGGGCTGCAGCTGCAGAACATCATAACGTAGCAGCTGCCGACGGTGTTGCAGACATTCAGACCACGAAAGCCGGTCACTGCTGCGGTCCTCTTGCAATGGACAAAACCGAGTCATTAATCATTTCTGACCCTGATGGCAACCTCGCAGATGTAGTGAAGAGGCCATAGGACAGAGAATGTGACCGTGTATGTCGCCGATAACCAAGCTGGAGATTTCGGTCGGGCGCGTCTAACAGCCTCGGAGGCTGGCCATGGCCATTCCGTGCATGATTTTGCCCTTGTCAACCTGCAAGTGGCTGTGGACCAGATGGATGCCGAACTTTTCCTGGACACGATAGTTCATGATGATGTCCTTGATCTCCTTGAGATGAGCCGGCGAGATTTCAGGCTGGTCCTTGTCGTCGGGAGCGAGTTGTAGCTTTTTGGCCGAGCAGTTAGAGGGGGAGACCACAAAGTAGCTTGCGTGCAAATTGTACTTACGACAGCGCTGCCTCTTCCAAGTCCTCCCTGGTCGGCAGCGTATGGAGACCGGGAATGGCAACCGGGCTGAGAAATGTTGTCATTGTAGGCGGCGGTCCCGATCGAATTTAGAGGCGACATTGCAGCCGTGAAGTGCGTTTTGGATGTGTGTGAAGATTAGATGATGATCATGATGATCATGATGATGATGATGATGATGATGATGATGAGAGATCTTTTCCTTGCACCACGTATTTTGTTGCCTGATATGGTTACTACTTCACGTGACCTGGTCATGTATATATATAGCCATATTTCTCGTATTCTCAATAAATCAACTCATGTCTCAATACTCTGCAATTCATCCAATATATTTATACGTCGCGATGCTGCCAAGAGACGTTCATCTTCAAAATACCCAGACTTCCGCTCATTCGACGCCGCAGTTGCGCAGGGGGAATGATGACCGGTCTGCAGGCGGCAGAGCAAGGATGGGTGCAGCACCGACCGGTGAACACAGAGTGGTGGTAACGGGATGGCATCAGGGCTTGTTATTGTTTGCCTTATAGGTGGTCATTGTCAGTCCTGTTTGAAAACCTGGCTGCATATCATGCACGGGATGCGATGGACGTAATACCATGGTTGACTCTGTTGTCCCGCTCGAGCATCGCCCTGCCCTCACTGCCAGCATCTAGCGTCGGGCTCAATTAAGTCCGATGGCCGGGACGGCCAAGGACGCCCTGGGAACCACCCTTCTGGCGGAGTTGCCAATGAGACCAAGCGTTCAAGGTGTGGATCAGACCGTGCAACGACGGCGTACAGCACCTTGAGGCTATGCGCCCTTTGAATGGTAGTACGTACAAAGGGGACCGTGCGGGCTGTCCCCAGTCAAAACTTACCTGTCGGTCGACATCTGATTGGCTAGCAGGGCCTGGGAGCAGCGGGCCGGTGCAAGGAGACGGGCAGCTGGTCAGAAGCCGCAGGTGCGCATCTGCAAGGAAATGCACACTCGACCACTATCGCTACGGCCCACATGATATGCAGCTAGGTATTCCAAACAGGACTGACAATGAGCGCTGGCGTATGCCGGAGATGGTTAGGCAACATTTCCTTAGACGCCACGGTTCTGCACCCATCCCTGCTGCATGGCCCCATTTCTGGATGAAGAGGAGGAAAGTGGGTAGCTTATTGCGTGGTCGGCGCAATTAATCTAGTTCAAGTCAGTGAAGTTGCCCTTAGAGCAAGTAATGAGCTTCGCATACCTTCGTATTGTTCTATGCTCTTTAAGACCTCGTTCATAGAACTAAATTCAACATTCCAGCACTTAGTTATTACAGATCCTAGGACTGTAGCATCGCTTGTTTTTGGGTACTCTCCTGAACTAAACAAGCGCTCCACTTCAGCATCAGTCTTATCGTCATATAGTGGGTGACCTGTCACCATTTCGTATAGGGTGGAGCCGAAGGCGAATATCTATGTCTCCTTTGTAATAATAACGTCTTCTGATTTAGATGAGGAATCCAAGGTAGGAAGCTGATGAGTCGTGCTGTAGCAGATAGTTGCAGGGGAGTTATCAATTGATGATCCAGCAAAATCTCCCAGCTTAAGATTCTGGTCCCCGTCAAGGAAGAAATTGCTGCAGTTAATGTCCCCATGAAGAACAGCACTCGCATAGCAGAATACCAAAGCTTCCGCGGCTTGTCGAGCCCAACGCAGAAGGAATTCCGTGCTTGGTGTACCTGCGGTGCGCAGGTGCTCCCTCAAACTCCCAATCTCAGCGTATTCTAAAGTTATTCCATACTTAGAATTGCCGTGGTACCGTAATATTGTTGAGCATGACTCCTTCTTACGCGACCGTTCGAGTCGTTCGTACACCTCGACTTCGACCTCACATCGGGCGCGAGCATCAGGCTCAGGGTGTGGAAACTTGATGACTTTTTGAGTACCAGGGAAAACGGCGACAAGCCCGGTGGTTCCGAAGCCTACAATATTGGTTGAGTCGATGCCAGGCGGCAGAAAAGTAGCCATTAAGGGCTGGCCTGGGCGACTTCGTTAGACAGACCTTGTGTTATCAAGTTATACTTACAGATGCTCAAAAATGTCAGGTGCGTAGAAGCTGTGCGCTCCTGGAGTTGTGTCTCGATGGCAAGCGGGGAGCGCGTCCTTGGGGCTGCTGAAAGCTCCAGGACGCGTTCCGGGGCAGCGCGGGGTGGATGCAGCAGTGACCGGAGGGCGTGGAAGGGCGTGACGCGGGGTTTGTTATGGTCAGAGGACGTGATGCGGCGATATGGTTGCGTTCGTGGTGGTTAACGTGGCCTAGAATCAGGGTTCTGGACGTCTTCTCCGGTTGCTTAATAAGCGCCTTTGTGCACGTGACAAGACTAAGCAATCAAATGCTCAGGGTGTCGGGCACCAAACCTCTTATCCCGCATACATGGTCCCTGCAGTGTGACGCCGAATTTGGTATAGAACAACGCCTTCGTAATCTCAACAAACCTTAATATCTGCCTGAACTCTGCCCCAAATCTGCCCCAATTCTGCCCCTTGGAAACCTCAGTACCACTGCCGAGCTACCGCTATGAGCACTACCGAACCGCCCACCACCAAACGCACACAGGCCAAACGAGCCTCTCGCGCCGAACCAGTGGAGGACCTCATATCGAAGTTTTATGCGACTGTTGACAAGGTCACGTGTCAGAAGGACCTCAAAACCCATGAGCGCACGAAAGTCGAAAAGGCATTTGCAGTCCTTAACGAACAACAAGATACCGCGCCAGCATACCAAAAGAAGAGGGACTATGTCAGGTACTTGAGGGAACTATACGATGCGGGCGACCTTAAGCTGGTCATGCTCTGTGTTTTGGCTCTGGGTAGCTACCGTATGAGCCAGCTAGGCCTGGAAGTCCGAACTGGGTTTCGGAAGGAAGTCGATCTCCACAGAGACAAGTGGGACACTCCGCTTATCCAGTCGCTTGCGCAAAATTGCTGCGCAGTAGGTCTTATCACCGCCACAAAAACCTGCAGGCTAGCAGAAACTGTCAGAACACATACGGCAACAGCCCAGCTACATGATAAGTTCAGCATAGTACATGAAGCTCAAATCGACACGCTGGAAAGTATTATTGGACGCTTCCTCTTCACCAGCGTGAGATTGAGTTACAAGAGACGTGGAGAAGAACTGCAGGCAAGAGCTACGGGAGCTGCAGGTTTGCATCTTCCTAATCGAGAATATGAGGACGTCACGGTGATGGTCTGGGTGCTTCCGTCGGTTGGTGGATGCATACTTGAGGTCAACGAGTTCTCTGTAGAGGCTTTGAGAGGCTTGCTAGGTGACTATCTCTTTGAGGCTATGGAAGCCAGCAAATGCAGGAAGGCCGAAGAGATGTCGCGGGGTTGTTGCCTGCCCCACCATTGCATATTTAGTTCGTCACGTGCATGTGAGCTTACCAAATTATAAATGCACATGCTCCCCGCTTGTTACATAATCAAAATTAACGTTGACGTTACGGAGGGGACTGACTCTTGACTATCGATTGAATTCATAGTACAATGCACAAGAAATGAGTACCGCAATTACATGACTTAAATCAATAAGGACGACGACGCCGTATTATACAGTGTAGAACGTCGAAGTGAACGTCGGCATGGTGAACACCGAATGAGGCCCATATGCTGAGTCGCGGAAAGAACGATCAGGCCGTATACGATAGTGGATACCGCCTTCCATCGTAGACCGGAGGCGGCCGCATGGGGCATGGTACCTGCCCTCCATCCCACAAGACCATCCAAGCCTCACTGCCGAGCGGTGTGTCACTATGTTCTTGAACATAAATCATATGCCCCGAGGCGCCGTTGACGCGGGACAGCTGACCAGCAAGGCGGTAGACATCCTCATCTACGAGCTTCTCCACTTCGGCGCGGTTTTGTAGCTCCTGCCAATCGACTACAACCAGCTGAAGCACTCGCGGAGACCTCGACTCAACCACAACCCAAGCTTTCACGCCAACTTTCATTTTCCCAATGCGAAGGATCCGCCAGACCTCGACCTCGTCTGGCAGACTAGTAGATATCGAGGGCCGCAAGCATAGACCAGCATCGGTAGCGTTCTGTTGACGGTTTTCTGCCATTACCAGACTCTTCTTGAAAAGAATCGAAGATGCTGGAGGGGAAGAGCATATGTATTCAGGTGCCGCACTGAGCGATGTCAGATCGGATAGCAGTGGACGCCTGCGAGGTGGCATCCATCGTTGACAGACGGTAGCTACACACCAAACGAACGCTGCTGAGTTAATCGCCTACGCTTGTTATTATGGGCATTTCAAGGTAAAGGGTGACTTACACAGAAATAAAAATCTATACCCAGGGATCTGGCGGCGACGACGATGACCGCAATTAGTGCGACAAGTGCGACGAGTGCCAAACCCAAGAAAAGCAACGGCGGTATGTGGAGTTGCTTCTTGAGGGCATTAAACAGTGTTCTTGCCCCCCATCTCTGGCGATTCGACCCAAGTGCCCGAAGAAAATGCTGTCCGAATACCACTTGAGTTCCACATCCCCCCAAACCCAAGAACGTCTTCTGAACTGATGCCGGAATTGGATGTGATGTTGCATCCACTATACTGGTCACTCCACCAATGACCCGGACAGAAAGAAAAAAAGGTAACAGAATATCCCAGTACCGGTAAGTAAGATAAGTAGTGATGTGGAGCTGGTAAAACTATCGACAGTTAGTATGTGAAGTTAGTAGTAGACTGGACTTTACCTGTAGACTAACTGCCTGGAACCAAACTGCCTCGTAGGACCCGATCAACCATGCCGGCGAGTGCTTTTGCTTGACAGCAATGGTAACAACGAGACTAACAAGACAAAGGTTCCAAAAAGAATACAATGGTCGCGTGCAATATCTGAGCTGACGTCGATGATAATCCGCCAAACGTTCCACATGCTCCACAACAAGAAGGCAGACGCTTGTGGCGAGTACCCCCCAAAATAGATTGTCTTGCATTGCAAAGAAACGGAGTGTGCTAGGGTGGAGCGAAATGTGGTTGAAGAACGCAGGACGCAGGCTGCAGGCAACGGAATGTGCTGAAGTAGATCGAGGTGCGAGAAGGGGGTAGACCTCAGGCTGCACGCTGCATGATATATCGTGAAGGTCGACCAGCTAGAACTGCGCTCTTTCGGTGATCTAAGTGCGCATATGGCATGATTGAGCACGTAACGAGCCGATACGCGCGGATCGCTGTTGTGGCTGAGTTATGACGGATTTGTGGCAGATATGTGGCAGAATTGTGGCAGAATTTTGACAGAACCCGTGCGACGACAAGTCCTTTCGGGTCTTTCAGCTCATCTGCAATGAGGGGAACGCTGCAGCTGTTCCTGCAGCCATGCTCGACAGTCCCAGGAAGCACAGATCGAGGGAGCGGGAGGTATGGCGCGTGAAAGGCAGCTGGAAGATACGTATAAAGTCTGCGATCAAAGCGAGTTCTCCATCTTCTATCCTCAAAGCCACCCCTCGACCTCCACCATCCTGCAAAGCATCGGCCGCCGTTCACGTTTCTTTGCAATTACTTCAAGCTCGGCAGTCGCCATCTACTGTCACCATTGTTACCCTCTTCCTCCGGCAGCAGAGCCCTCTCAATCGAAAGAGTCCGTTCTACAGCGACCGCCGCTTGATGACCAGGGCCGTTGCATACGCCAGGATAACCAGCAAGGTGAGATCTGCCACTGCCCATGCCAACACAGCATGTTCACATAGACACAGGACTACCTTCTGTACATCCTGCGAAGCATCAGCCGCCTGTCACGCTTTGTCTACGTTAAGCTCAACGTTCGTTATCTCGACTGTCTCCTTGTTGACATCTTCCTCCTGTTTGCTGTACCAAGGCTGCTCGAACCGATTGCTCTCATACGCCGCCATAACTCAAGGTGAGAACAACAGTTCTCAGTGCTAGATGTTTGCGCACAATCGGTGTAGGAACGCCTTCGCTACCCTTCAGGTCTCCCTTCCAACGCTCCTCCGCCATGTCCAGTAACCAATCGAACCCCTCCAACCCGTCAGAAACTCAAACCCTAGCACAGCAGGGGGCCAACGCTACTGGCCAGCCGAACTCTGCTTCCAACACTTCCAGCCCTTCCACTCCGCATGATACCGCTCCTACAAATACAGAAGCAAGATAAATGCTTGGAAGTAAGAAAACGATTTTTGAAGCTTTGTGTTCTGGAGCGAAGAGGCCGTGACTTGAGCGAATTGTTTCCCGATGGCGACAAGATTGTTCGAATACTGAGCTCTCTGGGTGGATTCCGTGACGTAATCTCTCGTAAAAAGAGAAGGGAGGGTTGTTTGATATGTCTCGACGTTGTTTACGACTTCTAATTGTCGCTGGGACCAACTCTCGGGACTTGGTGTGCCTTTGAGAAACCGAGCGACGTGATCGTCTTGAGGCGATGGTTCGACGGGCTCGACGCCATCGTCGACAATTCGCCAGTTCTTTTTGAAACTATTCCATTGTTGATAGTGTTCAAGCATCACATCGTGAAGGCTGGGCGGGACGTCGTTCGGTCGCATGTTGCTGATTTGGTGTTGCTGATTTGGTGCGCGTTGTAGATACGTTGCTGAACTGTGTTCCCAATGGGAACATGATATAGGTTAGCGTAGTCGTACATCTCCAAGCGCCTAAATATCTTGTCGCGTCCTGGCCACCACCACCTCCGTGCTCCCCTGCTGTGCCACAAACACTGGCCCGCGCCGTATTCGCATCTGCGCCAGTCGAGCGACAGGATGCGCATAATGCTTATGCTAGACGAACAACCGTCCTGAGCAGACAACTAGCCGGTTCTCATGATATATATCATCCACGTCCTCCCACAAGGCTGCGACGTCCTTCACTTTACCGCCTCCGCGCGTTTCCAGTCCTTCAGTTGCCTTCCTGCACCTTCCCTGCGCCCTGAGATTTGCGCCAACCATATCACACACGCCCTCACCGCAAGACTGCGACGTCTTCCAACGCCTTCAACGCATTTCTCAGCCTCGCCGGTTGCCCTCTTCCTATTAATGGGTGCTCCGGAAAGCGCCACGTCGCTGCCGTGGCCGGAGGATTTGAAGTCTGCTTTATCCGAGGGGAAGGTACAGTCATATGCTTCCACAGATTGTTTTAATAGCTAACATTGCTAGGTGGTTATCCATTTTGGAGGCAACGATGTCTTACCAGAACGTCTCGGCGAAATGCACCACCGGATATCGGCCGCTATCACGGGCCGTGGCAACGAAATGGTCTATCACGATTGGGAAGAATTATACAACGTTTCTTCCTCCTCTGCAACCGCGTTCCCGAAAAAGTTACGTCGGCAATTTTCTGCCGCAGTGGTGGATCGCGGGTATTCGATTCTTTTTCGAGATCACGATCGGTACCGAACTACGATATTGCCGAAAGACTACGCAGAACTAAGCATACCAGTTCGGATGCGCGGCTTCTACACTACAATGAGAGCATACAAGGGCTGGAGACACGTGGTACTTGTCTCCTCTCGAGTCACAACGGGCGGGGACATTACATTGACCGAAGATGGCGTTACGGTGAAATTCACGGTTATTCCGATACCGCCTGGGACTGTTCGGAAAGCCTATTTGTACTGTCTTCTTTCGAGTTTCATTCAGCCCTCACTTGATCCTAGTTCCAATGCGGAAATTGTAAAGATCAAGGCATCGCTGAAAGAAAGGTACCCAGAGCAGTATACCCAGTTCTCTGAGCTTGAATGAATACTTCTATTATGTGAGGATGGTGTTGCGTTACCGCTTCCTAGTCTCGCATACTCATCGATCCGCTCCACTGTTGTTCTTCATCGGCTGCCTTCCTTCACGAAATCCCTGATCTCCGCGCGACGTCTTGAATGCACGGCGCGTGTAATCTTGTGTCTATGAAGCCGTCTTGCATAAGGCGCTTATGCAATCCCCCCACGACGTGTTCTCGACGACACGGGTGGAGATCTTAAGCTTTGTGACCCGCATTAGCTCCATATGAATCCCGTGCATATCATGCCCGCCCTCCCCACAAGATTGCGACGCCCTTCAACACATTTACCGCAATTTTTAGTCTCACTGTTTGCTTTCTTCCTGCCCGCTGCCTTGCTGCAGGTACCGGCACGTCTTCAGCGCTACGACCTCATTAAAAGGCTGTCACGTCTTCAGCGCTACGACCTCATCACAAGGCTGTCACGTCCTTCAGCACCTTCACTGTATCTCAGTCGCCTCGTCCTCCAACTCCTCGTCCCTATCTGCACTACCATAACGGTCGGCGTATAGTGGAAAACCCTCCAATGTACGGACAGCCGCTTCCGCCAGCGAGCCATGCAGATGTATATGGTCAACCGCCTCAGCAGCAGGCTTATTTGCCGAGCCCTGAAAGCGCACCAGATCCGTCCCGAGCTCATTATACCTGGAGTCCATCTGCTGCCTCCTACGAGGAGGCTGGCCGTAACTCGCTGAATGGCAAGAAGACGCCTTTCACTGAGCCTCACAAACCTATCCTTCCTCCGCTACGGCCTGACTTAGCATCACGCTTCGAACAGCCAGACATCCTCCGTACGCCGCCGGGCCCCCCTTCTGTCATGAGAATCAGCCAGCTGCTTGCACCCGCTGCGTCGGCGCACGATACACAACCCGCCTCGAGCGCACGCCGTAATTTACCGAAACCAGCTGCTCCGCGAACATCGTTGGGTGGAGAAGTTTTTTGGGAAATCAATTCCAGGGGGGCCACAGAGGAACAGTCTTTAGGGTGTTATCTGCAAACGCTTGCGCGCCGTAGCTGCAGGATAACTAACTTACAAGTTGCTATCCAAGGTTGGCCTGTTAGAAAAATTAAAGGGATTAGATTGTGCGGAGCAAATGTGCAGGAGGAGTATATGGGTTACGCTACCATATTCGTTGAAGCGCATGGGTCGATGAATGAAGAACGTGGCGGTGCGGGGCTAATTACCTAAGCTGTGGCTGATGCTAGCGCGGATAATTTCTCCGGCTTCCGGCTCTCCGCACCACCTCACACCCCATCAACCCCAACCCCGCCGTACGAAGCACCCGGCGCCGCACGCCACGACATGAGCGATGCACCGCTGCCGCTCAACCCCTCGCACGAAACGCTGAACGTGGACGAGCCCTCGGACCTCTTCGCCGTGCCCGCCCTCCCCTCGCGCAGGCCCGGCAAGCGGCCAGTTACGAGCGACACCGACGCCGACGCCGATCGCGCCTCGTCCTCGAAGCGCTCGCGCCAGTCGCAGAACAGCAGCAACTTCGGGTCCAAGGTCAAGGAGCGGCTCACGGCCCTGTATGGCGAGCAGTGCTGGCATTGTGCGGGCCTGCTCCCGCAGATGTCGCACGTCTTCACGAAGGCCGACGGAGAATTCGCCGCCTGCCAGCGTCTCGGCCTCGTCGCCCTAGGCGCGCGCAGCGACAGCGACAATGCCCTCTCGCTCTGCTCCTCCTGCCACTACGCCTTCGACAACAGCCCACTGTTCATCATCACGCCGTTCGACCTCGACTTCTTCCTTGACCGGGAGCAGCGCTGGCAGGCCGAATACGCCCGCTCCCCGTGCGCGCGCATCCCGCCCACCGCCGCCGACTACGCCGACCACTGCTTCCGGCGCCACAGCAGCCACTACACACAGACGGGCGGCAATGCACGGGTTGGCGGGCTGTACAACTGCTACATGGCCACGTACTTCCTAGCTACGTGGGGCGCGCAGTCCGTCCAGGAGCCGCTGCTCCACGTGCGGCAGTGGCACGGCGACCCGCTGGCCATTATATGGCGGGCGAGGAAGGCCATCCACGAGCAGGCGGCAATGCCACCGCATCTGGTCGCGGTGAAGCTCAAGCTGATGCAGCTGGAGATGAGCTACGACGTCGGCAACGAGCTCCTGCGCGCGGGTCCGCCGTACCTTGCTTCTGGTGTTACACTTTCCAGTCGCCCCAGCGATGACGACGACGAACAAGACCCGTCAAATCCTTCGAACCGTACGCCTCTACCCTCGTTCGATGCTTCCCGACCCAGCCCAAGCGCACAACCAACACCGACTGCATCGTCCAGCATACCTCACGCGGCCTCACACCACCAGAACGCGAGTCAGCCGCACGACGACGTGACTAAACTCTCTGCCCTAGCTCAGAGCACTCAGAAAAGGCCCCTCGACAATCCTCACCTTCTCAAACCTGTCGGCGCGAACTCCTCGCGAAAGCGTCAGAAGCGCACAGATTCCCCGCTCTCAGAAGCCGCAGCAGAGAAGACGAAACCTCCCACACCCTCGAAGACGATACTGTGGCAATACGGCCCGCACCAATCGACCAACAGCGCTGTACAACGGTGGAAAAGACTGCGAGGTCTAGGCGATGCAGAACGGTAAGTCTTGCGTCCAGGGGCGGATAGATAACATGGCAGGAGTTAGATTGGAGGAGTCTGGTTGCGTTGATACCCCTGTAGGGGGGAACATGGAGCCCGGAGGGGACAAGCACGCCGGCGCGTACAGCGGCATTCGGCGCGCATAGATAGAAAGGAATGCAGAGGCTGACGGAAGGGCGCTAGGAACATGAAGGATAACGGAGAGCAGAAGGATACGCGTCGTATCGAGGCGCTTATGCCGTACTGATGCCGCGCAACGTATCGCTTCTTTTAAGCTAATAACGACGATTATAGCTATGATACCGCAGCTATCATTTCAGAGGTTACTTTCACTACGTTCCGCATAGTTACCTTCGACGAGTTTTTTAAACCTCGTTTATTTCGATCCGGTTACTGAGATGGTGCGGTCCGCCAGAGTAACGCCTGCCCGTTCCGCTCATTCTCTTTACTTCGCTGCGCCAACGGCGAGAATAGAAGTATTACCTGGTAGCCAATTCTACAGGGCGCTGCGGTATCGCCCACGCCCTTCTCGTTCAAGAATAATGGTAGCTTGAGTTTCTCGAGCCGACGATGCGGGGAGGGGGTATGGCGTAGATAGAGGAGCGTCTTCGCAGGGAGAAAGAAGAATAGTCGAGCCTTAGAGGTGTAAGACTCAAGTAGGGGGTGTAGGGAGAAGTACGAGAGCGAAATCGAACTAGCAGCATATTATCCTGCTCTCTACTGTTATTACAAGCAGGATACCGCGCATCGTATCGCCTGCTTCTCCTAAGTGTCTGGGAGCGCAGTCGAGATTCTGTGTCTAATCTCGTCTTTGTCTAATAGGACAACTAGAAGATAGGAAGGAAGGAAGCTCCGAGGCGATCCCGGCGTGAGTATCGGCAAGATTGACGACTCGTTCGGCTACGATTACGCGTGTATCGCAGTGTGTGGAGAGGGGTATCTAGCTATGATGGAGGTTGGGAAGAAGTGCGCAGACTGGTGTGTGGAGAGAGTAGGGCGAAGAGATGAGATGGGAAGGGCCATAATGACTCCAAGAAGCTCGACAGCATGGCCGCTCTACCCGGTTAATTATCGAGACTCTGTGGCTGATGCTTGTTTGGCATCTAGCCTGAACAGCGTAGTCGTGGTGATCCACAACATGATAAAGCTTATCGAGATCTCCATTTCCAATTAGATAGTAACTGAGGCGAACTCGCAATTTCGCATTAGGAGAGGAGAACAGATGGGTGGAAGTGCAAGCCAAGCATTAGACAGAGATTTGGCGTGCACACCTGAATAATTGTCGGTATTACAAACAACACATCTACTAACTTAATCACCATCACACCAGGTAACCAAATTACCGCCCCAAAAGTAGGACCACGCTTCTAGCGCGAACCAAGAGCCTGGAGACAGATGTCAAGAGGATCGAGAGCGGAGAGATGTACGCAACGTCAATCCTGATGCCGACTACGTGCCATCCGGTGCTTGTAAGGTCCGGTGAGAAGTTACCCAGACAGTCTAGAGTGTGCGAAACCGTATACGAGGTAGCGCCACGGCGAATGTGCCGGTCCTGTGGTTGGGGATTCATCGGCGTCGTCTCCCGGGCATGCACCCCTCTGCGGGGTGCAGCAGATGCGTCTAGTCCTTCCTGCATCGAGAGACAGGAAAGCGTATGTAGCAAGATCTACACAACCTCTGCATCACCACATCCCTCACTCGGCAGACTCGACGGGCAGATGCTCTGTTCTTCTCGGCTGGGTTGGCAGCTCTCATGCCGGTGTAATCGCGAAACGCGTGCTGAGTTCCGCAATCTGATGGCGCTGGAACGGCGCATCCCGCGGGTATCTGTATTGGCAACCGCGAATTATCGTTCCGGTGGATCGCAACGACCTCGGGAACTAGTCGGGGGTGCTAGAACGGAGAGCGGTATATGGGCGCTAATTCCGACGGCATGCGAAATTACCGTAAAGTGCGGCCGCTCTTCCGCTGCCGCGATAAGCTATATCAGCTTATATGAATGCTGTAAGTGCACTTAAACGTTAGCTACTGCAGGTCTAGCTAATATGTAGAAAAAGTTAAGTTTAGAACTTTAGAAGTTATTTATCTTGCAGTTATAATTATCTACTAGAATTTTTCTAAACTACCTTAACGTACTTTATAAACGAAAGTCTTATACAAATAAACGCTCTATAATTTCTTAGTAAGAAAAATTAACGAAAATTAATAGGTTTTTCTTAAATAACTAAGCGAAACCTTAATATTTTTCTATAAAAATATAGATAACGTACTTTATAAGTAAATAGTCTATATAAGTAAATAGTCTATATAAGTAAATAGTCTATATAAGTAAATAGTCTATAAATTTCTTAGTAAGAAAATTAACAAAAATTAATAAGTTTTTCTTAAATAACTAAGTAAAATCTTAATATTTTTCTATAGAAATTTATATATATATTTTCTATAGTATATTATATCTTATAAAAAGTTATACTAAGATATATTACGTAATTAAAAAGCTATACGTATTTAGGTAACTTTTAAGAAAAATCTAGTTTACTTCTAGTAAGTACTATTATATCTCTATAATAATCTATAATATACTTTATAAGTAAACTAACTATATAAGTAAGCTAACTACTTTTACTAAGTTTCTACTAAAAAGCTACTATCTTAGTTAGATTACTCTAACTCTAAGCTACTTAAGATAAATCTAGATAAGCTATCTAACTTATCTATATTATCTTTAACTATCTAGTACGTTTACGCGTTATATTCTAGCTTACTATAGTGTCTATAGCGTTACTAAGCTAGCTAGCTATTATATACTACTACCTTTTTATACTACTTCTTACTCTTATTCTAATCTATAGTCTCTCTTTAAGTAACTAGCTATAAGCTAGCTTTAATTATAAGAGTATTCTTTTTCTAAATTTACTTTCTTTTACGTAAATTATGCTTTTTTTTCTATACGTTAGCTACTTAAAGCTAGATAACTTTAGACTCTATAAGTACTAGCTAATATGCTATTAGCTTATTACCTTTCTTAAGCTAATTAAGTAACTTAATAATATAAGTTAGTAATAAATTAAGATACTATATAATCTTTAATTAAATTAGAGTTAATTAGAATCTTACTTTAATAAGATTACTAGATATTTTATACTTCTAGATAGTAGTATTAGTAGTAGAGAGTATTAGTATACGTAATTAAACTTTAAGCTTTAATACTACTAAATCTAGATTAAATAGAACTAAGCTAGCACCTCTAAATTCTACTCTAATATTATTATCTATAATTAATACGTAAAAAGCTACGTAAAACGTAGATAGAAACTTAGTTTTTATAATATAGTTAATATAGCTATATATTAGAATCTTAACTTAGTAGCTATATACTACCTTTAATAGTAAGAAGTAGCTAATATTAAGTTACTATAGAAGGTATAATAAATATACTAGTATATAGAAAGCTATAATTTTATTCTTCTTATAATACTACTAGAATTTAATAGAGCTATAGCTTTTATAGCTATCTAAAATTAGTAGATAATATATATCTATAACGCGACTCTTAGTATACACGTTAAAGTACTTTAACTACGTAATACTAACTTTATTTATTATCTAGCTACTTTTAGAGATAGCTATAACCTAGTTACGTAGTAGCTAGCTACTATTATACTATACTAAGAGGTAGTTCTTACTTATAATAATAAGAAATAGTAGAACCTATATATTATCTACTACTCTTACTATTATAATTACTAAAATCTACTTATAATTATCTCTTAGAGCTAGTAACTACTATTTAAGATAATATTATTTTTATTATAAAGCTAGATTTATTAAAGTTATACGTGTCTTTATTAGTAATACTATATTTTACCTTTATATTACCTACTAGGTTAAACTATGTCTAAATAATTATAGAATCTTTTTACTTTACTCTCTAATAGTTATACTTACGATTAAGTTATATTTTAAGCTTAGAATAGCGCTTAATAAAGTTATTTAGCTAGTTCTTACCTATAACCTTTTTCTCTTACTTAGTAAGTAGCTAATTAGCTATATCTTAAATAGTAGTAAGATAGAGAGTAAATTCTTACACGTCTAGATTAAGTATATAGTTAATTATCGCCTACTTTTTATTTATAGTAAGCTTTATTAAATTAGATATCTTTTTATGTCTTTTAGTTACTTTATTACGTTAGTTCTTTAGTATTAATTAGTAGACTCTATATATAGCTATAGCGCGTTATTTACTCTAGATTTAGCTAGTCTAGAGAGCGAAGAAGGTAAGCTATATTCTAGCTTTATAAGAGAATAATTCTATATAAATAGCTAGACTTATAGTAGTTAAGATAATTTTTAGTAAAAACTTAGTAAAAGTAGTTAGCTTGCTTATATAGTTAATTTACTTATAAAGTACGTTAAAACTTATAGAATATAATATTTATAATAAAATAAAGATTTCTAAGAAACTTTTATAAACCTAGCTCTTCTAGGTATAGCGTAATAAGAGATAGAAGTTAGAAGAATTTCTTCTTTAGAGTTTACTTTTCTAACTATATATATATTAGTTAATCTAGCTATATAAACTTATAATCTTATAAATTATAGTATACTTAAACTATATAGAGCTTATTAACTAAGAATATACTAGCTTTAAGTAGTTATTTAAAAGTAAAGTCTTTTTATAATATAGTATAGAAAGATAGAAATATACTAAAACTATCTTAAAATTCTTACTTCTAAATATATAGAAGGCTTATAATATATATTAGCTTATAATATATAACTTTATATAGCTAGATTATTAATATATATATATAGTTAGAAAAGAAAACTCTAAAAAGATTTTTTTAAACTTCTATCTCTTATTATGCTATATCTAGAAGAGCTTAATCTATAGAAGTTTTCTAGAAATCTTTATTACGTTATAAATATTAAATTCTATAAGTTTTATAGATTATTATAACGTACTTTACTACCGAACGCTCTATACTACTAAACGTCCTACGATTTCTTAGCAAGGAAAATTAATAAAAATTAATAGGTTTTTCTTAAATAACTAAGCGAAACCTTAATACTTTTTAATAGAGTTTTAAATATAGATAGAACTATACTATATACATCTAATATTAAAATTACACTATATATTTCTTATTACGTAAGCTTAAGATAAGTCTTTTTCTAAAAAGTAGCTATTTTTAGATTTTTCACCTTATAAGTACTAGTAAACCTTTATAATAATCTATAAAACTTATAGAATATAATATTTATAAGTTAATAAAGATTTCTAGAAAACTTTTATAGAGCTAGCTCTTCTAGGTATAGCGTAATAAGAGATAGAAGTTAGAAAACTATCTTTTTAGAGTTTTCTTCTTTAACTATATATATATTAATAATCTAGCTATATAAAGTTATATATTATAAGTTTATATATATTATAATCTTTCTATTTATTTAGAAGTAATAATTTTAAGATAGTTTTAGTATATTTCTATCTTTCTATACTATACTACTAAAAAGACTTTACTTCTAAATAACTACTTAAAGCTAGTATATTATTAGTTAATAAGCTCTATATAGTTAAAATGTACTATAATTTATAGAATAATAAGTTTATTTAGCTAGATTAGCTATATATATATATAGTTAGAAGAAAAAACTCTAAAGAAGATATTTTTCTAACTTCTATCTCTTATTACGCTATACCTAGAAGAGCTAGCTCTATAAAAGTTTTCTAGAAATCTTTATTAACTTATAAATATTATATTCTATAAGTTTTATAGATTATTATAAAGGTTTACTAGTACTTATAAGGTTAAAACTCTAAAAATAGCTACTTTTTAGAAAAAGACTTATCTTAAGCTTACGTAATAAGAAATATATAGTATAATTTTAATATTAGGTATATATAGTATAGTTCTATCTATATTTAAAATTTTATAAAAAAATATTAAGGTTTTACTTAGTTATTTAAGAAACACTTATATAACGTACTTTATTATTAAACTAACTATATTATTAAGCCGACTACTTTCTCTTAGCAACAAAAATTAACGAAAATTAACTTGTTTTTCTTAAATAACTAAGCGAAACCTTAATAT